TTCTGCTTTCCTTCCTTTCTATTTTTCCTTCTTTTCAGTTTTTTCTTCTTTTCTGTTTTTCCTTCTTTTCTGTTTTCTTTATTTTCTGTTTTTTCCCTTTTCTGTTTTTCTCTTCTTTTCTGCTTTCCACCTTTCCTGTTTTTCTTTCTTTTCTGTTTTTCTTTTTATTTTCTGTTTTTCCTCCTTTTTTGTCTTTTCTTCTTTCCTGTTTTTCTCTTTATTTTCTGTTTTTTCTTTCTTTTCTGTTTTTCCCTCCATCTATTTCAATTCTTCAACTTCTTTCTATCTTCTCCTTTCTCTTCTACATTGGCTTCATTTTCCCATCTAGTTCTTTTTTAAAATTAGCAGTTTTCTCGCTGATTAAAATATGCTTGGGTCAGTGATTGTGTCTAGCTAAGTTAAATGAATGCCAGATAAGGACCAGCCTTCCCCATCCACTGCTATTTTTTTCACTCCTTGGTCATCAGGCTTGGATCAAAGTATAGTATCTGTCCTCATCTCACAGGGTAATGACAATAACCATTTTCTCATGTTTCTCATTATAAAATCTTTCTCTTTAAAATTAAGTTTTCAGGAAAATAGGTTTCTCAAGTTTGGTAGCTGCTATTGATGAGGTTTTTCTTCCTAATGTTTTGAACGAGTGTGAAACGTTGACATCTTAATTATGTATGTACTATACATTTTAGTTGTTGCTGCTATTGAAAGTCCCTCGATGGTGGTTGGAATAAAGAAAAAATAAAAGTGTGAGAACTGTTCTAAATCTTTCTTACTTTCCCTTTTTCCTCTTGCTGAAACACATTTTAACAGAATGTATTCACTTAGCACCTTAAGACATAAATACTACAAGAAAATCAACATGATAAAATTATTTGAAAATACTGAAATCATCAACATAATGTTCTGTATTAAAGAAATGGGTTTATAGCAAAACATATAATATGTAGAATAGGTCATCTATATATCTATAAAATCCTGAAAGATTAGATATAAATTATATGCATAAAGTTGAGTACAAAATATTTAGATTAAAAATAACCTATAGATGTTGATATACCACTAAACAACCAAGCTAAACTATTTTTTTTTGTATTCCAAGATTATTATTATTTTTAACTTTTTTCCTAATTTCTTTTTCTTTAATCTGTCTTCACTTTTTCCTTTCTTTTTCTCCTGCTTCTTTCTCTTTTTCTCCTAGTTTATTTTCTTTGTATCTTTCTCTAAATTTTTTTTCTTCTGTACTAAATCCGTCTCTGCTTTTTTACATTTTCCCTCTTTCTCTTCCTCTTTCCTTTCTTTTTCTTTTCCGCTTCTTCTGTTGCACTTTCTTTCTTTATCTACTTCCATCACTTTCTTAACACTTTTTCAATTACTTTAACATCCTCTTTCTCATTCTTCTTTCTTCTCTTTTTCCTCCTCTTTTTCATTTTTATCTCCCTTCTTTCACCTTATTCATCCATTCTCTTCTCTTCCTACCCTCTTCCTTTTTCTTTTCTGTTCTTCTTTGTCATTTCCCTGTCTTCCTTCTCCTTTCTCCTCCTCCTCCTCTTGCTTTACCTTCTTTTTCCACCTTCCACTGCTCCCTTTGCCGTCACCTCCATTTCATCTACTTCATCCTTCCTCCTCTCACTCTTTGCATTTGCTCTTTCTCTCCTCCTTCCACCCTTGCTTTTCCTCCTCCTTCCTTTACTATTTGCTCACTTCAGGACCTATACATTTTCATCCTCCTTACTCTATGCTTCTTTTTCTCCTCTTTCTCCTCCTCATGTACATTCCTCTCTTTACCATATTTCTATTTTACTTTTCTATCCATGTTTTGTGTGTTAATTTTGTACTGATCTCTTTTTAACACACAAAAGAATTTCTTTCATTCCTGGCAATATTGGCTCTCCTCCTTCCTCACTTATGCTCTCCTTCTCCTCCTCCTTTTTCCTTCTCCTCTTACTCTTATTTCTTTTCACCCCTTCTTTCTGTCCAAACTTTTTCACATAGGATCACTGAGAGCAGGTGGTTAAGAGCCTCTTCTCATTTTCTCTCCTTTAATTTTTTTTCTAGAATTTCTTTTGCTATTTAAAAGCTAAACAGAAAATCATTCAATTATCAGTGATTTCTATTCTTATTTTTCAAAGATCTGATCACTGAATGAGCTGGAGAAGGAAAGAGAAAAAAAGTAGTGGTGTGAGAAAGAGAGAGTTAGGAACAAAAAGAAAGACTAGGATAGAAAATGAAATCAATGAGAAAGAGAGAAAGGAAAGATAAAAAAATAGAAGTCTAGAATTGAAAAACCGATAAAGAAAGACAGAGAAAAGAAAGAAAGAAAGAAAGAAAGGAATGGTGTGTGAAAGAAGTAGAACAATAAGCAGAGAAAGAGATGAGAGGTGAGAAATAGAAAAAAGGAGAGAGAGAAGCAATGAAAGATTAAAAGAAATAGGAGTGGGGAAAAAGAATAAAGACAGAGAAGGAAAAAAGGAAAAAGGGAGGATGAAATCAAGAAAATAGGAGGTTAGAGAAAAAGAAAAGGAGGGTGGCAGAAGTAAGAGAAAATGAGTGTATGTGCACGAGAGAGAGGAGGAGGAGTAGGATGTGTTGTTGGTGGTGGTGGAGTAGGAGGAGGAGGAGGATGTGGTGGTGGTGGTGGAGGAGGAGGAGGAGGAGGAGGAGGAGGAGGAGGAAGAGGAGGGAACATTTGTATTAATGAAGAGAAAATGAGCTGGAAATACTGAAAGAGATTTGAAGAAAATAAGTAAAAGTAAAAGAATAAACTGGAAATTAAATTTTGAAAAAAAAAAAGAGAGAAGAAAGATATCACGTTAAGGAGAAACATGTAAAAAAAAAAAGAAAAACCATTTCATCACATATAAAGAAGAGACTTGAAGTAACAGAAATGTGGTTCTACAGAAGGATGCTGAGAATACCATGGACTGAATATGTGAGCATCAACAAAGTTTAAGAGAAAATAGAAACAAAAAGACAGGAAAACATAGTTGAAATTTCTAGGGCGCATCATGAGGAAAGAGGGCTTGGAAAATTTGATATTCACAGGAAAGAATGAAGGCAAGAGGGATAAAGGAAAACAACTGATAAGCTACCTTCAGAGCTTGATTAAATAAATGTCAGAGCAAAGTTTTGGAGAGATAACAATCACATAAAATTTATTGAGCTACAAAAGACAGGAAATTGTGGAGAGCTATGATCGCCAAAATCCTAAAGGGACACTGCACCTAGAAGAACCTACCTAATGAGTAAATGGAGGACAGAATAGGGTGTGGAAGGGATAGTAAAAAGACAAAAATTGTTATGGGCTAAATAAAATAGGAAATTGTGGAGAGCCATGATTGTCTAGTTCCTGAAAGATCATAGCTCATAAGAAGTTTTGGAGAGATAATAAACAGATAAAATTTATTGCACTACAAATGACAGGAAATTGTGGAGAGCCATGATTGTCTAGATCCTGAAGGAACATAGCTTATAGAAGAAGAAGAAGAAGAAGAAGAAGAAGAAGAAGAAGAAGAAATGATGGGGAAGAGAAATTTTATAAAAGAGAAAGAGGGGATGACAATGACAGAAAGAAAGAAAAAAAGAGAGAGAGATAACCAAAAGAAAAACATGAAAGAGAGGAAAAAGAGAGGAAAGGAAAACAAGAGAAGGGGAAAGAACAAAGAAAGGAAGGAGAAGGTCAGAAAAGAGGAGGAAAAGGAAGATAGAGGAATGGAAACTTAGAAAAAGTGAGAAAAAACATTAGAAAAGAAATGGTAAATGAAAAGGTTGTAATCTCCTTCCTCTCCAATAACTTGTTTATATTTGTCTAATGGAAACATTAATGTTAGTGTCATGGTGAATAGTTCTTCACCTCTGAAAGGAAATGATCAGAATCTCCAAGGACTTTTGGAATTGGAAGTGGAAGAGGAACAAGTTCCATAATACTTCAAGAGAAATGGTTCAAGAACTTAAAAATTGAAGAGGGGTAGGCGATGAGGGGGCATATTGAGGAAATGGTCTGGAGTGAAAAATATTAAATCTGTTATGATACTGACACTTGAAGATGTGTAAGAAGAAAATGAGACCGGAGTGATGTGCTTCTTTAAATGGAGATTTTTGTTTCAATTTAGAAACGTGTGAAGTTGTTAACATTTTTCAAGGATCTTGCTTCTTCCCTTTTTAAATTTGAATATTATTTTTTAAAAAAAAAACATTCTTTTTTAAAAAAGCATTCTTTTTTAAAATCAGATTTTTATTCCATCTCAATTTAAAAAAAAAAAAGTAAAGAAAAGAGAGTTTAAAAAAGAGAAACATTCATTTAATCTCCAAGAAAAATTAGTAAGGGCTTCACACCTTCTTGAAACTGTTGAAGAATTCAAAAGAATTGCTCTGACATGAAGTGCAGGAGAGTTGCTTTTAAATTATTTGAATTTAAGCCTAAATGCTGAAAAAAATGAAAATAAATCATTGTAATTCTCAAGGAACCTAACATGAAAATAATCATCATTCAAATTTTATCTTACGTCATAAAGTGTTTAACATAGAACCAGGTGAAATAATAATGAGTCAAAAGGTTATTGCTCTCTTGACACCACTATCATCCTGTAGTAATTTAAAACATTTTTAAAGATTTATTTACATTATTTACATTGTTCGGACTGTTGTCCTCATCTTTGTTGCCACATTCACAATGTTTTAGCTGTTGTATGCCCTGGCCTTGTTAAGGTGATTGGAATTTTAAACTGAACACATTATTTTGTCTACAGGGTAGATTGTTCTAATGGCTAAAATTGGTTGAATCCAGTGACTTGACCCAAAGAGATGTGAGTTCAATACCTGGCTACAACTGACGAAAAAACTTGGTAAGGTGAGTTAAAGGGAGATAACTGATACTGAGACATCTAGAAGAGGCATGGTATGTAGAACTAGAACAATCTACCTTGGTGGAATAAGAAGGCTAGAGCATACAATGTCCAAGAGGTTGTGAAAATGGTAATAAAGATGAGGACAACAGTCTGAACAATGTAAATAATTAGAATACATCATCTCAGAAATTTAGAGAGATTTTTTAAAGAATTTACATTATTCAGACTGTTATCCTCATCTTCAATGCTATATTCACAAAGTTTCAGCCATTGTACACTCCAGCCTTAATCAGGTGATTGGAATTTCAAACTAAACCCTTTATTTTGTCCACCGGGGTAGATTGTTTAGATTATTCAAACTGTTATTCTCAAAATAATTCTATTAAAAAATAGTTGCTGTGACATTAGGTTTATAAGTCATAAAAATTCATACACAGATGTCCTCAAGAACACGTGGCCTAGTGGATAAAAATGATATGAATCCAAAATATGAGAAAAATATTCCCACCACCATAATGTAACTTCTCAATGCCTTTTCAATAAATACTTTCATGGTAATGTCTCAGTATCAGTTATCTCCCTTTAGCACACCTTACCAAAATGTCGGTTAGATCCAGTGACTAGACCCAAAGAGTTATGAGTTCAATACCAGGCTAAATTTTGGTTAACCACAGCAGTGGTTAACTACAGAAGTGGTTAACCACTGCTTAGTGAGTTGAGTTAAAGAGAAATAACTAAATCTGGAAGAGGCAAAATATGTAGAACTAGAACAATCTACCCTGGTGGATGAAATAAAGTGTTCAGTCCGAATTTCTAATCATAAATCCAATGTCGTGAACATGGCAATAAAGATGAGGACAACAGTCCGAACAATGTAAATAATTATAATACCTCATCTCATAAATATAGATAGATATTCAATCTGTCTTATCTTAAACTTAAGTAGCCACAATTACTGACCCAAACATACCACAGTATTCCTTACACCAAAACAGCACATTCTTACTACAGCCAACATACCTCAAAGTCCCTATGACCACAAAAGAAAGTTCACCAGAACAATTATCATGAAAGTATTTATTGAAAAGGTATTGAGAAGTTACATTATGGTGGTGGGAATGTGATTGAAACTAACAGCCAGGTCAGGGCAAATACAACCATTTTCTCATATTTGGATTCATATCATGGACTCAAGTGAATCAAGACTGTAAGTCTTGAAGAGGACTGTCTTGCATCAAATTTTGTAGATTGGCACTACAGAATCACAAAGAAAGAACTTTACCTGATAGCAGAAGACTTATAATAATGCTAGAAAACTTTTAATGGCAGCAAAAACTAAAATGGATGCCACATGTAACCCAAAGAGAAAACAATGACATAATGAAGATGTTGACTCTCTCCATACTACTTTAAAGATGATGGAAAAAATGGTTGATTCTTTATACCATTCCAGTAAGTATGCAACTCATTCTGCTATACTCTATATTTACAAGAGCTAGATCAAATCAAAAATAGAATATTGTTGCTATATATTGGTTGGAGATACCCAGTTTCACTTCTCCAGTCTTGATATTATGTTGAAACATGGGTTCTTGTATGATCACCAAAGTTAAGCAATGTTAAGCCTGGTCAGTACCTAGATAGGTGACCACTTGGGAATACCAGGTATTGTAAGCTTGGATGTGTGCCTTGGAATTGAAACTTGAATAGCTGAGTTCCAATCCAAATTGGTTTTGGTATATTCACTAATGTGCAAATCCCCTTCTCTCCGAAGCTCTGACTTAATTAGCAGGAATTATATTAGTAAATAATTATTATCCCTAAAATATTATTACAATTTAGAAAAATATTTTGCTGACTTTAAATAACCTGCAAAAGTTTGATAAGCTGTAGAAAACAAATCAAATCAATATAAAACAGTCTTGATAGTCTAAGAATATATGAAGGCTTGAAAGAAGGAGTCAGACAGTCTGCTGCCTAGCTCTGCTTGTCAACCTCACTGCCTCCAGGCACAGAGGAACCAAGACGAGGCTATGCCAAAATGCAAAGTGTTGTCAGGGTAGACAGCTACCTGACCTTGTGTTTATAAGGTCTACAGTGAATTTTTGCCCAAGCCTACAAGCTTGGAAAGAACGACATTAGGCTGGCCTTGTGCCACATCATGCTCTGTGGGGATTTTGAGTAAATACAGAGTTCAAAAGCATTTATGGAGCTTTGTGGGTGATTAATTATTCTTTGTTATGCAATCCCTTTCTGACAGACCAAATGTTGTAAGCCTCTTTCTACTTTTTCATTATTTCCATGAAAAATGGTCTGACAAACTACATACTGTGGTGCCACCAGCTCAGACCTTCACAGCTAAGACTTGCTATGTCACGTACATAGGGTCCAATCATCCTCATTTCCTTTGTATTCCATTAGTAAGAAGGAAGTTCCATTCAGACATCTTCTTCCCAAGAACAGTTACTTTGTGGAATGGACTCCCAAGAGGGTGCTTCCCCAATCACTACAATCTTAATCTTTTCACGTATAGGGTTAACCATTATCTGTCTTACATGACCTTATAAACTACACTACTTACCATTTCGTCTTATGCACATGCAACATCATTCAGTATTTTTTTCACTAATGTTTACCCAAGAGCCACTCAAGATAGCTTGAGTGGCTCTTGGGTAAACATTAGTGAAAAAAATTACAGGTTAGGAAGGAAATCCCCATCAATACTAAAAACAGTGATAACAGTTAATGAACTTGAGAAACCTATTTTCTGGACAAATTGAAAGATTTTAGAAATTTCAACTGAGAGTAATGTTAACTATTCAGTCAATGAATGCTGAATATTTACTTATAAGGAAACAGCTAATATTACAGTTACTATTATCATTGTTATCACAACTGTGGAATTTTACATTTTATTGCTTGTAAAAGCCATATTTTTCAAAAGGAATGGCAATAAATAAGCAGACGAAGTCAGTGAAGAAGTTATTGCAAAATCCTTTATAATGTGAAAGACATTTCGAGGAAAGAGACCATTCCATACAGACCAATTAACGCTCAGTAGAGAAGGGACAGATCCACTGCAAATTTCCATTTGCTTTCTGACACACCATTTATCATGTTTTATGAGACAGCTAAAGTTCTCTTGAGGCATTCTTAATGAAAACTGATACCCCGGCCCTGACATAAATGCCAGCAGCCATAATACGTTCCAGTTGGGTTTGAACGTGTCAAACTGACCATGGCAAGGACCTCAATAGCAAACGTCAAGAGATTATGCAGTTAACTGACCATATATACAAAGCCCCCCACCCACACTCCTCCCTATTGAAAAGCAAATGAATTCTGTTTGAAGCTATTTCTACAGACCACACTTAGAATTCAGTAAGATGGAAGAAGTCGAATGCTAATGGCAAAACCATGTGCAAATAGTAAAATGGACACTGAACAGAAAGTCAAATCATTGAGCTGAGTTCAAATATTGGGCAAGTCTGTTGTATTCACTGTTGCTTTAATGCTCTTTGGAATAGTATGAATCTGTTTCTTCTCTCCTCAGCTATGGGTTAAAAAGGAGGGTAAACTGGATTCTCTAGCCTTGTGGGTAGCAGGTTGTAGTACAACAGATGTTTTACCCACATTTTACGCCAGACCAAGGAAGCTGTTTGCACTAGGGTGTTGGCCTGGTGTCATTCCTGGCCACTGAATGGAGAAGCACACCTGCATATGGTTTTCAAACATGAAAAAAATTTTGTAATACATGCAGTTATATAAACAATTGCCCTTGGATAGTTTCTTACACACTACTGTAGAATCTAGAACCTGCATTCTTGCATAACAATTTACAGATAATAAATAAAGGAAGCTGTGGAGAGTCATGATTTGCCTACATCCTGAAGGGATATAGTCTTTTAGATAGTATTGTATACTGTGCTAACAATCCTTGAATGACAACTTCAAAGAGAAGGAATCTTAATTCCAAACCAGAGAAAATAGGCAATAGGAAATTATTCTACTGTGGAGAATACAACAGGAAACCACTCCACTATTTTTCCCAAAAAGTCATGTCAATTCCTAGAGAATAAAGAAAAGGAATCTGTGTTAAAGGCAATGGAAAACTACCCTACTATCTTTCGCAAGAAGTCATGCCTTTTCCCAGAGAATAAAAAATAGGAATCTGTAGTAAAGGCAATGGGAAAATACTCTACTATCTTTCCCAAGAAGTCATGTTAATTCCCAGAGAATAAAGAAAATGAATCTTTGGTAAAGACAATGGAAAACTACCCTACTATCTTTCCCAAAAACATATGGCAATTCCCAGAGAATAAAGGAAAGGAAGCCTTGGAGAATCATGATCACTTGTGTACTGAAGAGACATGGCATTTTTAAAAAATGGCCAAATCATATTTTCTGGGATTAGAATCAAAGCCAGAGTGACATGAATTTTTGCTAAAATATGAATCAGAAAAGCAAAGAGCTTAAAAATGAAAGTAATTTGGATATTTACCAGAAAATTAATTGATTTGAAAGACATAAATAACATCTTGTCTTGTCAACTGAGAAAATAGTGATTTTCAATTTCATTCTTCTGCAATAATTCACTTTTCTATCTTTGTACAAGTCAGGATAACTATCATGCTTGATGCATCATGATAGACAGAGATAGAGAGATAGAGAAAGAGAGAGATAGAGAGATAGAGAGAGAGGGGGGGAAATGAAAAGAGATATAGATCTAGAGAAAAAAAGCTGGAAAGAGACAAAGGGAGAAATTAAGGAAGAGAAAGAAATGGAGAGAGAAAGTGGAAAATATGGAGAAAGAAAGAAAGAAAAATTGAGAGAGATGTAGACATAAAATGAGCAACAAAACAAGAGGCAGAGACAAAGAGAAATAAAGATAGAGAAAGATACAGTGAGAGACAAAAAAGAGAGAGAGAGGGATAAGAAAGTGAAAAACAGAAAGATATAAGCAAAGAGAGAGCGATAAAAAGAGACAGAGAGAGATAAACAGTAAAAGAGAAAAAAAAAAGAAAGAGTAATAAAGAAATGGAAAGAAATGAGGAGAGAAAAAGAGAGAAAAGAGAGTGAGGCAAACAAAATAAAAAATAGAAAGACATAAGTAAATGGAGAGGGAGAAAAAGAAAATAGAGATACAGACATAAAAAGCAAAAGAAACAAAGGGAAAATACAGAAAAAGAAAAAAAAGGTGGAGAGAAAAGGGAAAAGACAAGAGAGACAAGTACAAAAAGTGACATTGAGAAAGCACTAAGTATTAGGTTGGTGAAAAAATAATATCGTTTTTTGACGTTCAACTTAACGTCAAAAAACGACATTATTTTTGCACCAACCTAATATATAGAGAAGGAGAAAAAGAAAATTGAGAGGTTGACAGAAAAAGAAGAATAGAAAAAGACAAAGAGAGAAATAAAGAAAGAGAAAGAAATGGGGAGAACAATAGGTATAGACAAAAAAGAGGGAAAGTGAAAGGAAAAGAGACAGACATAAACAAAAGGAAAGATAGAAAGAAGAAAATAGAGAAGAATATGGATGGAGACAGAAAAAGAGAAACATAAAACATAATGATAGAGGAAAAGAAAGAGAGAGATGAAGGGGAAAAAAATGAAGGGACAAATAAAGAGAAAGAGATAACAAGAGTAGACAAAAAAGAAAAAGAAAGACAGAAATGGGGAAAAAGAGAAAGATGTTGGTGGACACAGAGAAACAGTAAATGAGAAAGAAAGTGAGACAAAGAGAGGGAGACAAAAAGTAGAAGAATAATTTTAGAAAAAGGAAGACTGAAAGAAAGTGTGAAAATGAGAGAGAAAGAAAGAGAGACAAATAGAGAAGGTGGTTGATTGAAAGAATTTATGAGAGAAAGACAAAGCAACAGAAAGAGAGAAAGAAAGATAAAAAGAGAGAGTGAAAAAAAGAAAGCAAGAGATAAAGAGAAAGAGAGAGAGAGAGAGAGAAAGAAAGAAAAAGAGAGAAAGAGTAACAAAAGATAAAAGAGATAAAGAGAAAGAAAGAGAGAGAGAGAGAAAGAAAGAAAAAGAGAGAAAGAGTAACAAAAGATAAAAGAGATAAAGAGAAAGAAAGAGAGAGAGAGAGAGAAAGAAAGAAAAAGAGAGAAAGAGTAACAAAAGATAAAAGAAAAACTTGGGTTCTCTCTCTCTTTATTTTTAACACAAACCTGCAACTGTGTAGCCATGTATAGCCAACTTCCGACTGGCTTTCAATTCTAAGTGACCACAAAAACCACTTTGGGCAGTTTGGCCATTCTAAAAATTATATTACACTGGACAGTCATTGCACCTGACACCCGGTCTTTCTTTGGCCGGAAAACATGTCCAAACTTGACTGGTCAGCTCTCCTGAACCTAACAAGATGAAAAGTTAACTTCGATCTTTGACAAAAACATTGATTTCATCAAGTCTGTCACAAGGTCAACTATTCTGATTATAAAGGTAGAAATTATTTACAAAAAGGTTTGTTTGCCTAGTTTCAGTTCCTTTAAATTGTTACAATATACAATGTCCCTATTAAAATGTTGGCACACAGAAAGTTTTGTATTTCAAACTTCCAGCTTTCCAAAGAATATCAGGAATTCTGCCTACCACACGGATACCACATTGGTTCTTGAAAATAACTGAGATGGTTGAATCTTCTAGAAGAAAACAATAATCTGGACCATTTATTTACTATTTTGAGAACAACACTGAACACTTTATTCAAAAACAGGAAAAATGTAATAAAAAATGGAACAGAAGTCCTTGTCAATTCTTTTTAATCAAACTTGCTCAGATGAATATTTGCTGCCTAAATATACCTTATAATTATAATATATATATATATATATATATATATATATATATAACATTTTTATGTTTAACATTCTTTTTATAGATACAAATATTTAAGTAAATACTCTGTTTATAATAAACAGTATTAAATAACATTTACCAGTCTGAATGTTGAAATTTTCATAGATTTGTCCTCTGACAAACCTATTTACAGAACTGTCATATAGCCTGACATGCTTTTATTTTGCCACAAGGAGCAAACAAGGTCAAATTTACTGCTTTTAAACTTTTTATGTCTGCTCATGGCGTATCCAAATGTAAACAAATGACGTCACACATTATGAAATGGACAAAGTCCAACAATTATTTTAAGACATTTTTATGTTTATACATTCTTTTTATAGAAACAAATATTTAAGTAAATTCTCTCTTTATAATAAACAGTATTAAATAACATTTACCAGCCTGAATGTCTGAGAAATTTTCATAGAAAATATTTGTCCTCCGACAGGATTCGAACATGTATCCTATACGGAACTGTCATATAGCCTGACGTCTTTTTACTGATTTCCATTTCCAGCTACTCAAGATTGGTGAGAAAGGACACTTACTGTTAAATATCTTATAAGAAGATTTAGATATTGTAATTTTGTTTTTCATTGCCTACATTAGCTGCTTTATCCTGGATCTTTATCATCCTGTATGTGACTTCATTTGATGTGCAAATTTCATAGTTGTGTTGTCTTATCCTGCTATGGCAACAGAAAACTTTGAGTGAAATTAACAATAATGATACTGCAATTGAGAAGCCTTGAAAAAGAATGGAGTGGAAAGGGATGTAATAATAATAATGCAGAGTGCTAAAATTTAATTCTTTATTCATATAAGATACTTGTAGATTTTAGTGGCATACATAGTGATTTCCAGTTCATGTACTAACAGAATCTAGGCTATGGGAGGTAGGCTAAAGAAGCTTACCTGTTTAGCCAAAGGTACCGTAAGAATATAAGCTTACCAAGAATGTACAATTTTTTAACCTCTCCCTGACCAAATTTACCTGTGTACAGTCCAACTGATCACCGAAAATGCATGATTTTTAACTTCTTCAAAAAAATTACCTGTGTATAGTGTGACCCCTTAATTTTGTTTAAAAAGAATGATCATAAAAAGACTGATCATAAAAGGACTGATCATAAAAAGACTGATCATAAAAACTCACACTAAACTTGAGTATTTATGATATATGTTTATGTGTCAGATTTGTTTTGAAAAGATCAACAAAATTTTTGAGAGAAAATGATTTATTAAATCAGTGTAAAATTTCACAAAAAATGACCAGACAGTTATCCTTTCTTTTTCTTTTTCTGTTTTTTCTTTTTTTTTTTGTTGAAAATGAAAAAGAAAATTAAATTAAGGTAAAGGCTATGGGCAGAGAAATGAAGAAATCAATAGAAACTGAACTGTGAACCAGTTTTGATTAGCTCTTGTGACGAGGTCTCTTAAATAATTAATGATAGGCAGGAGAAGAGTTGTGTATTTATGCAAAAAAAAAAAAAAAAAAAAATGTAAGTGTATGCACAGGTTGAAAGATAAGAAATTATCAATTAAAGAAATTTTTGCCGCTGTCCCAAAATTGGGCTTTCGGTGTTAATTTCCCTGACCACTACCACTAATCCACTTTTACGAGAGACAACTTCCTTTTCTTTGTTGGTCTCTCTCATTCCTAAGCAACAACAGCAAGGTTAAAAATTGTTAAGGACTTTCTTGTATTTACAGTAAAGTCAGTAAATGTACACAGAAGGGGGTACTGAAAAATATATGGTACGAATAAAAAGACCTTATAAAATAAATTCTCAGGTTTTGTCATTTTCTCAGATTTTGAGGAAGTGAGTGAGAGCTTGAACTTTACAGACTGACTCATTTACACACACACACACACACACACACACACACATATATATATATATATATGAATAAAAAGACAAGAAGAAAAACTATTCTTAGCCAATGTGTTTCATCATCTGAGTGACATGTCCTTCTGAGGATGAAAACATGTCAGCTAAGAATAGTTTTCTTCTCTTGTCATTTTATTCATTTTGTTTCTTTACAGATACACTGTATCTGAAAATAATTTACGTGCACACACACACACACACACACACACATACATCTATCTATATATATATATATGAAATAACAATATATATTTTTATATATCAAGAACAGTATTGGAGAAATTTTATGACAAAGTAGAGAAAGTTTACATGTGATGTGTATTGGACTAAATTTGTTGGTAGGACTACACATGTGCACAGCAGAGGGGTGCTAGGAATTTAAAAAAAATTTTTATTTCAATTGAATTCATTTAGAGTCTTTTTTGTTTTCTTTCAATCACTTTTGTAAGTAGGTATTCAACACTGTGATTTTGGAAGATCTGCCAGGAATGGTGAAATCTTGTAAAAGCCATGTATCTAACAGATCTTCTAACATCACAGGGTTCATGAACATAATCAAATTTAAAAGCCTTGATAAACTAATGACCTCCTTGCTCATGTATATAAATGTGTGCAACAAAATAAATCCTACATTTGCATTGATAAAGTCCCTTAGAGGATGAAATGTATCAGCTAAGAATAGTTTTTTCCTTGTCTTTTTATTCCTAAAAATATATATATATCTGTAGTCTACTGCTACTAGCAAGCAGAAATATTTCTCCTCCCGATGATGGCCATGTTGGTCAAAACTAGTTGAGGAATCTAAATGAAATAATAATAAAAAAAAACAAAAGAATATTAATCTACAACCCAGTGTGTCTAACGATTTTAATTTTTTATATTTTTTTCATTGTTCAAAATATATATATATATATATATATATATATATACCTACAAGACTTTCCTTTAAATATGACATTGCTTTCTTTGAGCAAAAAAAAACACATCCGTTTACTCTGACATCAGTGCTCATATATATATAAGGTACAGATCTGTCATTTTGTCAACTCTTTTGTATGGCTCTGAAACTTGGACACCTTATAGATGGCACATTAAACGATTAGATGTCTTCCATAAAGGTTGTCTCTGTACAATCTGTGGCCTAACATTTGATCATTTAGTGTCAAATGCTGATCTTTTTGGGAAATGCAAGATTGGTACCATCAAAACATTCATAATGCAATCACAACTACGTTGGGCTGGACATGTGGCAAGGATGAGTGATGATCACAAACCAAAAGTTCTTTTTTACGGTCAACCTCCATAATGATCATAGAAATGTTGGTAGACCTTAGCTCAGGTATAAAAATAAACTGAAAAGCAACCTATATTCCATTCAAAAACTTTGAAGAGGTAACTCAATGGGAGAGTCCATCAAAGGAGATAGTGATATATGAGAGAGTGCTGAAAAGTTATAACTTTTTGTAATCTGAAAAAAAAATGATCAAAAAATCAGATTTTTAGGAAGGAGACCTTGGTCAGGCAGAGACCTTTTTACCTTTGACCACCTACACGCACACAAACACACACACACATTTATATCAGTAAAGTTAGACGAGAATCTGGTAAAAAGGTAAATATATAAGCCAATCCACCACTTCTTCTGCTTTAATGGTTTCTTTTCTCACACTTCCTACCTGTAGAACTCTCTTCTACTTTCTTGATTCCCTGATAACTATAATTGTTAAAAATTTAAATGTAGTGTCAATCATCATCATCTATCTTGAATCCCATCCATTTCTTAGTCTTTTCTAAATTCTCTCTATACACAGTCTTTTCTCTCACTTTAACTCCCTGAAACCCCCTGCGTACTAGTAGCATTCTCGCTTTGCTTGGGGTGAAATCATTAAAAGAAATTTGGAAGATTTTTACAATGACATGTTTTTACCCAGTTATCTGGCATCATAAGAACAAAATCTACATTATATATAGAAATGTATATCCAGTAGCAATAACAATAAGTCAAACAGACCTATGCAAATATGTAAGAATTACTAGAATTTAATGTATTTTAAGACAAACAGAATGTTTTCAGAAAAATTGCTCAATATATAACTAGATTGATCATATTGAATAAATCAATAAAACAGACCATGTGACCTGATGAAAGGTATTATGCAAAACATTGATGTTGGTCAGATGAGTTAAGTCTATTGAACAATTATTGATTTATGGAATATACCTATATATATATATATATATATATATATATATATATATATATATATATATATTTTGGAGCAAGATCAGATAGGATTGATAGAGGAAAAGATGAGGAGAAGGATAGATCAAGGCAGCTGGAGATGTCGATTGACATTACATTTGAATAGTTGGAGATTATAGCTCTCAGGGAAACTGGAATAGGGAAGGGCGTTCCACAGGCGAGAGATGCGAGACATGAAGCTATTGGAGTA